AACATCATTATGGGGCATCTAGGACACTAAAATCAATAATCCACAGCCTTTTGGAACCTTTATCTTCCAAATAACAATTGCAGAAATATTTTTGGAACAGATGATACACACAAACATAATATTCAAGAGCTCGACAAACAACGAACTTAACAATGATTAAGAAAACATCACAATGCTAATAAGAAACTGTAAACAGCGTCAGCTTTAAGCGCATATAACATACACAAGACACAAACTTTGAACACCATCTGCAATCATTTACAAAAAAATAAAGAATGAAAAAATTAAACACAACTAAAGTAATACACAATCGAACCTTGGTGACAGAGGCGTAGTTCTCGGCCTGCTTAATCTCAGAAAAAATGGCAGGTCCACCTGTTCCAATCCCAAACCTCGTACGACGATAAAAAAGAACAAAATAAATATGGCACTACAAAACCACATACTTTTTACCAACAACAAAAGCAAAAATTGTTGAGTGAATCCTCGTGAAGAATAATTTTTGCCAACTTCTAGTTCACATCATTGCCTCAAAAAAAAGAGTCAATTTGTGTCTAAGAAAATGTAAATCTAATCTAAAAAATTGCATCAGTCTTTTTATCCATAACTGCGTTTTTTTGGCTTCATTCAATGGGAAACATCTTTGTTAACAACCATTTTTCTCAAGTAGAAAAATCAAAGGAAAGAAAAAAGACACGAAAAGAAAAAACTCCAATGCCTAGTGGTATGATACCAAACCAGTAATTCGCTGGGCAACCATTGAATCATGCAAGCAGCAGTTATCAGGGACAACAACAGAGAGTAATCTAACCGGCCAATCAGAAAGCTCTGAGGAGCCATCAAGTGATTTTCATGTCTTAGAAGAATCTATTCCCATCAAGAGGGTTTCACCTCATTCTGATTATGAGGAACAACAGCCCAAGAAACCAAAGATTGATGCTGATAATGTTTGTGAAATAAGTGGCTCAAGTCTGTCCAACTCTAGAGTCAAAACCAAATCTTAAATCCAATGAGGTGATTTTCAATTTTCAGTGTTTTCTTAGATAAAGAAAGTATTTTTGTGAAGGCAGAAAGCACTTTGTGAGAATCTTAATGTTTGTGAAAAATGTTTCTTTGCTTCTTTTAGGTTTCTGCCCCTGGTTTTGCTTTGATGTGTGAATTAGAATGGCAGTTTCTAGATTTTTTTTTTTTTTTTTTTCAATTCAGCTTAGAGCTGATTCGAGCATAGTTTCAACTCCCACCAGGCTTCAGGTTTTCGTCTGTTTGTATTAAGGGAATTTAGCAATCGAAGCAGCTCATTCATTTGACATTTAATGTATACTAAAAAAATGATATCAGGATTAATCACGTCATTGAACTTTTGCAGACGTAGAGACACACACACAAACATATTGTACAATCACAACAAACAATCAATTTGGAGGCTACAAACTAGGATCACAACAATAATAGTAAAAAAGCTGAAGATTTTTACTATTATTTATTCATTTATTTATTTTTTTGGTGGGAGCCAAAAAGCTGAAGATTTTTTGCAGACGGCAGAAGCAAGGCTTTTATATGTCCACTTCTTGTAATTAAATCAAGATATAAGGGCTTTTTTTTTTCATCTGAGTCATTTAGGGACTAGTGATATTTATAATATCAAAATGTGAGATAAAAACGATCCCACCTCCAAGCCGGGACAACTTTTATCAGCGAATGAGTGACTTCTGTGTGGGACCCATAAGCCATGTCAGAATAATCTTGCAAACTATCAAGCATAGTAAACGACGGATATCGACCTTATCCTATCCTATCCGGCCAAGTCAACGAGGCCCTATAGATTTATTGACATAACTAGCGCGTAGCCTGTGCGATGAACGGGAAAACTATATTAAATAATAATTACAAATTAATGAGTAAATAATATTAAATAATAATTCTAAGAGAGTTCTTTTAATACAAGGCATGAAAGATACTTTTTTCTCAATTCGGGACCTAAATGTTATAAAACTATCAAATTAAGTCATAGAATTAACAAAACCCATAACACGAGAGTTAATTTGAACTTTTAAAACACCAAATCTGTTACAAAGTAAAAAAAAGAAATAAAAAAAAGTAAACAAAAAAGAAAGATGAAGAAAATTAAGGAAAATATGAGATTGTTATGGATTTTGTTAATTCTAGGACTTAATTTGATAGTTTTATATCATTTAAGTCCCGAATTGAGAAAAAATTCTTTCAAACTCCGATTTGATAGTTTATCCATATTTCGGTTCTTGTATTGAAAAAACTCTTGTTTTATATATTTCAGTTTTTTGTTTATTGGAGTTTGGTCTTTTATTCATTATATGGCTTATCTTAGTGTTTTGTGAGACTTATTAAAATTGTTGATCCTTGGCCGCCGGCAACTCTGCACTTTGGCTCTCACTATGTCCGATTCCGGGAGATTGTTCTCAATGATTCTCGAGCGAATGGGTGGCATTATTTTGCACCCAATGATGAGGCTGACACTTTCAGTGCTCACAATCTGTGTGCACCTAGAGTTTCGTATGGACCGGTTTGATATTTTAGTAATACCAACTTGTCCAAATTTACAACTTATTGAGCCATGATATGCACTTAAGGTTGAGACAGTTCTTTCCTGACTTCAATTAAAAATATCGGAATGACTATACCAATCGCAAAAAGATACTTGAACACACTAAGTTTTTTGTAAAGGTTTACTATAAGCATGGGCTTGGGCTTATGTTCCACACCTACTTGGACATCGTGTGCACTGCTATGGAGAACATTAACCGTAAGTCTTGCTTTTGTTTATCAATAATTTGATGAATGATTGATTTTTCTGGCTAACTTTTGTTGGTTATATTTGCAGATTTGAATCGTCCACCTTTCCTAATTCGTAAAGCTCACGACACTCAAGCAATGGTGAATCAGTATGCAGTTGCAAGTGCTATAAGTAAGATCCATCTTTATACAAGAGAAAATCTTAATGGAAGAGCAATACCTTCCACTAAGATTCCCTCTTGTGACACGATAAAGACGGATCTTACTTATGGCACTTGCAACTGCATACTGATCCAGTGGTGTTAGCTCCACGAATTAGGAAAGGTGGACGAATCAAATCTACAAATATAACTAACTTTCAGTAAAATCAATCACTCTCATCCAACTATTGATAAACAGAAGCAAGGTTAATATTCTCCAAAGCAGTGCACACTACATCTAAGTACGTGTGGAACACAAACTCAAGCCCATTCCCATGCTTATAGTAAATATTTACCAAAAACTAGTGTGTTCTAGTATCTTTTTGTGATTGATATAGTCATTTTGATATTTTTAATTTAGGTCGGGAAATAACTGTCTCAACCTTAAATTTATATCATGGCTCAATAAGTTGTAAATACTAGACAAGTTGGTATTACTGAAATATCGAACTGGTCCATGCGAAGCTCTAGGTGCACACAAATTGTGAGCACTGAAAGCTCATCATTGGGTGCAAAATAATGTCACTCATTCGCTCGAGAATCATTAAGAACAATCTCCCGACATAGTGACAGCCTAAGTGCAGTGTTGCGAGGATCGACCTAATTTTAATAAGTCTCACAAAACACTAAGATAGGCCATAATAAAAATCAAACAAAAAACCAAAATATATAAAAAAATGTATCAATTTCATTAGTAAAAAGAGTCACATGAGCCAGAGGGCATTTTTGAGCCATTTTGTAAGGACCATAGGCTCCTTTTCCCTTCTAGACACTAGACCAAAGGCAACTCTATATCTTATTCACCAACAGAAGGTATCAAGCCAAAGACCCAAAAACCAACAA